CAGACCCGAACCCCCCCCCCCCCTCCCCATCTCATAGCCTCTCTCAGACCTTAAGCCTGTTCATATATATGTACATGTGAAGCTAATAATTGAGAAAGTATAAATAAATATGTGTCATCTAGCCCTCATAGTTCCTCCTTCATCAACAACAAAAAAACCACCCTCCTTACACAGTGCAACCACGTTTCTCAGTTTGCGACGTCGTAGACTTCCTGTCATACTTTAAATTCAAACGGAAAACTGCTCAACGGCAATTTATAAAAACTGCCGCGATTTTTCTTCTCTGTGCGAAGAAAATTCGGCAAAAACTTCAAGGAATGATGTCAATTTGTTCTCCTTTAAAAAATAGTCTAGAGGCGGAGATTTTCAAACACTGCAAACGAGATACCAGTGGCGTGGCGTGAATTGCGATTTATCGATTGTTATGCCATTTAAACCTATGGTAAAGAATCGAATATTAAGTCGTTCGCCGCGAACACCCTATTTATCGATAATTTTTCATGGGTTTAAATGGCATAACAATCCATATATCGTAATTCACGCCACGCCACTGCGAGATACGTGGTTGCGGACTTACGCCGTCGATATGTTGTTTAAAAATGAAATTGAGATATTAGATCTTTCGGGCAAAATTTAATCTAATTGAACCACGAACTGACCTGATACTATGAAAGTACCTTAAAAGTTTTCGCCGTTTAAAACTTATTGCACTCTACATTATATTAATTGGGGGGTTTTTCAGTTCTTTGAACTACCACAGTATCCAGCAGCAGACAGAATAGGAATTTATTTGAGCAGACCGGACCAGCCGGACACGATCGAGATTTTCAAGGAAATGTTGAAGGATGGAAAACACGTATTCATTCCTTGGTAAGCAAAATCTAAATTTTGGATTATTTACCCTTACCTCACATATGCTCCGGATATCAATCACGGAAAAAATGTTTTTAGAACTACATACTGATTAAGAATGGCTACTAAATATTACAGAAGTAGTAAATCTAGCGCACTACGCTTGCAGGATTCAGGCTTGGCCACTGCGGTTTACTTTGTATGAAATGATTTTATGGACGTAAGTGTATGTAACGGGTGACGGGCCTATGTAAGTGTATCAACTTATTTTTATATATACGTACAGTATCTCATGTGTCTCTTAGTGTGTGAGTATGTTGAATTTATTTTTATAGGGTCACTACAGAGAGAGACTTGGAACTTGTGTCAACTAGAGGTTTATCAGATTTGGATTTACCGCTGAACAGATATGGATTCAGGCAACCAAATAGAACTATGGATCAACAGGAAGCCATCAAAACAGGTTGGTATCATAGTTTGAATTCGCTTAAGGTGAATCCAGGCTTAGAACTTCGCGATTTGGCCACCACGTCGCGCTGCTCAGAATAGCCGCATATATTTGCCAAAATAATAAAAACCGTATCACTTTATTCAAGATTGGGGATCCAAGGGATATAGCAACATACTTGAGGAACACTCAGTAAAAAAATCTTCTCAAAATTCCCAAAAATAAAGTCGTAACTACGGCGGAAAGTAATTCCCATCGCTGCACGGAGAAAAAAAACTCGTGCGTGGAACCCGAAGTTTAGGTCATATGGATCTCTGAAGTTTTCAGATTGAGCATCTGAACACTTTAGGTCCAGTTGCCGAGGTTCGGATCATACATCTGAAACTTCAGTTCTTACATCTGAAGTACTTCAGATGTGAGAACCGAAGTACTTCAGATGTGAGAACCGAAGTACTTCGGATGTGAGAACCGAAATACTTCAGATGTAAGAACTGAAGTTTCAGATGTGTGATCCGAACCTCGGCAGCTAGACCTAAAGTGTTCAGATGCTCAATCTGAAAACTTCAGAGATCCATATGACCTAAACTTCGGGTCCCACGCACGAGTTTTTTTCTCCGTGTGCAATGGGAGAGAGAGAGACAGAACATGAGGGATTCGGTTGCGCGCTCGGCCGCCACCTCTGAGCTGAAAGTTTCAGCCGTACTTTCTCTGTGCTTGTAATTCTAATTGCCAATATTTTAGGCTTAAAAAATCAAGCAAAAAATAATCTTTATCTCGTGGATCTGCTTTTTGTAATTTGAGGAATATTATTTCAGTAATCGTCGAAGGAAAGTGAAATTCTCAGTGGCGACTGGTGGCGCTATCTCTAATCTTAAATTATCCCTAATCGAACCCTGGATTCACCTTAATTACCCGCTTTGAACTCTCAGATCTTTGGGATTGCATAATCAAAGCACTATGCCCTACGATTTCCGAAAGGTTTTTTCATTTTCATGGAGTGGTTTAGACAATGTAATTTTCGATTTACTCGTGGATAATTGCAGCTGCGTTTTACTGTTAGTAACAAAATGATGCTCTTGCATGCGTGAGGAATAAACGATTTAAGTACTTTTTCGCACGTAAAATTTTGCGAGAAACATGATGGTCCACTGATTTCTATGAAATCAACTCCAAAGCTCAAAAAAACTCTTAAAGTTGAGGCAGTAATGGAGGGAATATCCCACGCTAGCCTGAAAGTCCACCTTTATTTCAAGAAAAAACTTTCTATGCAAAGGAGAGGGGAGACTCCAAAGCTCAAAAAAAGCTCTTAAAGTTAAGGCTGTAATGGAGGGGATATCCCACACTAGCCTGAAAGTCCACCTTTATTTCAAGAAAAAAACTCTCTATGCAAAGAAAGGGGGAGCTAATACATTAGCTCCAAACAAAGTGGCTTTCCTTTGAGCTTTGGAGTTAACTTCAAAGAAAACCAGTGAAACCGTCGCGTTTCTTGCAAAATTTTACATGGATCAGTACACGGAGAAAAAAACCTCGTGCGTGAGACCCGAAGTTTAGGTCATGGATCTCTGAAGTTTTCAGATTGAGCATCTGTACACTTCAGGTCTAGCTGTCGAGGCTCGGATCACACATCTGAAACTTCAGTTCTTACATCTGAAGTACTTCAGAAGTGAGAACCGAAGTCATTCGGATGTGAAAACCAAAATACTTCAGATGTAAGAACTGAAGTTTCAGGTGTGTGATCCAAACCTCAGCAGCTGGACCTTAGTGTTCGGATGCTCAATCCGAAAACTTCAGAGATCCATATGACCTAAACTTCGGGTCCCACGCACGAAGTTTTTTTCTCCGTGTACGTAAACCGTAAACTCCTAGCATATGCAAGAGCTCCATTACAATCTTTCAAAATCCTTGCTATAATTCCGAAAATAACGCGCCTACGAGATCCATTTTCCCTCTTCTTTTGTGAAACATATTTGTAATTTTCAGGTGGTCTTGACATCATAGTGATCCCGGGAAAGGCATTCACGAAAAGTGGCCAAAGAATGGGAACCTGGCAGGGATGGTACTATCCTTACGTGAGGACACTCAAGGTGTACAAGAGGAATTTGACAGTCGTCGCTTTCGCATGGAGACATCAAATTGTTGATTTTATTCCCGATTTCAGTCATCCGGAAATCAAAGTTGACGCGCTTTTGTATTACCATAAGAAAGAATAAATGAGAAAATTGTATTGAAAAATATGCATTGGCTCAGGAATCACCCAGGAAAAGTGTTTAAGTTTCCGATACCCTATACAGGGTGGGCCAGAAGTTCCAGGACGGTCGGCTAACTTTTTAACGGTTCAAGATAGAAAAATGAAACTTTGGGAATGTTCCTATCTCAAAGGGGACCATCTTATGGGGGAGTCAAAATTTTGGTCCCCCCTAAGGGAGGGGGCGGGGGGCCCCAACTTTTTTTTTTCAAATGGCAACCCCTATCTTGTGATACCTCATTCGAAAGACCATAAAAAACTAAGAATTTTGGCGCAAACCGCAGATCAATATCTTAATTTTTGACCGAGTTATGATACTGTCAAAGGTCAAATTTGACCTATTTTCAAAAAATCACAACTCCGGTTCAAATTATCGTAAAGAAAAAAAATAAAACGAGAAAATTTACTAAATTGTGTTCGCTTTTTTGTAAAAATTGCAGAAATCACTTCGAACTAATTTTAAGGGGGGGTTCGGACCCCCAAATACGTCAATTCAAAGGTCATTCAAATTTCCTGCGAAATAAGCCAATTTCCCCTAGATTTGCCTCCACATTATCTCAGTAAGGTCAAAATCAGTTCAACATTACGTTGGCAAGTCCCCAAATGTCGGGAAAAGTTTTAAAAAAACGAAATTTAAACGGTCAAATTTAATTACCTTAAATTTCGTTTTTTTAACTTTTCCTGAAATTTAGGGACTTGCCAACGTAATGTTGAACTGATTTTGACCTTACTGAGATAATGTGGAGGCAAATCTAGGGGAAATTGGCTTATTTCGCGGGAAATTTGAATGACCTTGGAATTGAAGTATTTGGGGGTCCGAACCCCCCCTTAAAATTAGTTCGAAGTGATTTCTGCAATTTTTACAAAAAAGCGAACACAATTTAGTAAATTTTCTCGTTTTATTTTTTTCTTTACGACAATTTGAACCGGAGTTGTGATTTTTTGAAAAAAGGTCAAATTTGACCTTTGACAGTATCATAACTCGGTCAAAAATTAAGATATTGATCTGCGGTTTGCGCCAAAATTCTTGGTTTTTTATGGTCTTTCGAATGAGGTATCACAAGATAGGGGTTGCCATTTGAAAAAAAAAAGTTGGGGCCCCCCGCCCCCTCCCTTAGGGGGGACCAAAATTTTGACTCCCCCATAAGATGGTCCCCTTTGAGATAGGAACATTCCCAAAGTTTCATTTTTCTATCTTGAACCGTTAAAAAGTTAGCCGACCGTCCTGGAACTTCTGGCCCACCCTGTATATAATTTTAATTTTCATCTTCACCTCTAGACGAGAGAAACTCGAGGGAAGGGGAAAAAGACCACCGTCCAAATCAGTAGTTTGACGTGCTTTGCGATATATCGATTGATCTGCCATTTAAACCTATGGAAAAGGGTCGATAAATCTCAAGAAGTTGGGTGTTTGCAAGGAACACCATGATAATCGATTCTTTCCCGTGGCTTCAAATGGGGTAATATCGATAGTTGATTATCACGGCTCGCCTCTGAAAAGGGCGAGTTTGCAACCTGGTCTCAATTCAGTTTGCTTGATTCTTTTGAGTTTACAATCGTTATAAATTGAGGTAACAAAAAACCAAACGGCATCTTTCACCACTTATTTTCGTCATTTTACTGTCCCTCTGACGTAAGGGAGTACCTAAATTTGCACGTGAGCCCTACAGTGGCGTGGCGTGCTGTGCGATATATCGATTGCTTTGCCATTTAAACCTATGAGAAAGGCTCGATAAACAGGAAGTTCGCAGCGAACACCTTAATAATCGATTCTTTACCATAGTTTCAAATGGCGAGATATCGATTATCGATCATTCACGCCACGCCACTGGAGCCCTATTCTACATATCCATGCGTTCTGAGGCTCAAGCGGAAATCGTGATATACGCCCTTACGTTAGAGGAGCGACGATTTTTACTCTCGCAGAACAGTGGATTGAGTCAATTAGAGAGGTCGGACAAAAATTTTTTAACTAAAAATGCAAATTATGATGTGTATTTCGTGACGCTATAGGCATTAAAGAATGCTCCTAGAAGAAAATTTCACTAGAAAACCAATGGAAACAATTTTAGAACCTCGACGTTTTGTATAAACGGAGTTATAAGCGTTTTAAGTATTTCCAAATTCTGTCCGACCTATCCTATTGACTCGATCCATTGTTTACCGTTGAAGTATCTTTCCAACCCAATTAAAAGCACCTTACTTCGGCAGTATTAACCATTGCGGGCTTAATCTATTCAGAAAGCTACAAATAAAATAAAATTACATACCGATCAGATCAGCAGTACGCAGCTCAATGCAGACGATTCTGAAAAAAGAAGCAAAAGAAAAGATTATTAGCTAAATCAAGGCACCGAAAATTCTTGCAAATGTAAAATTTTGTGCAGGGACGATTAGAAATATAGTGAGTTGAGGAAAAACTACGCTGAGGAAAATTAGATTCACAGTCACGAGAAACCGATTTCTCGATAGTTCTTCGTTGTATTTAGGAAGACACCACTGGTACGTCCTGGAATCGATTCATTGCGCTAAAAAGGATGCAGAACGTTCTTAGCCTCCAAATTTTTAAAATTTGGCCTCACTTTAAAAAAACCCATTTTTCCTCAAAATTTTACAAAAATGACTTTCCTATGCTGCCGTGCTAAGGAAAAACGCCGTATGAACCTTTAGGCGTTGCCAAATTTCCTTTGATAAAACACAAATTTCCTGGTGAACAAATGAACATTTTTCTAACAATTTTTCAGGTACCTATCTTTGTTCGCAAGTTTACCTAATGTTCCTCAAAATTTTAAGGAAGGTATTCATAACTTGCCTAAAAATAAACATTTTATCTAAGAAAATTTGGAAACTCTCAAATTTTATTACGGCGTTCTTCCTTAGCACGGCAGTAAGTATGGCTTTGCAAGTATGAATTTCCGCGATTTTAAGAAAAACACGTAAATTTTACCGTAGTAGCGTTAAGAAAAAAAAAAAAAAAAAAAGCGCGATTTTACAGGCTTTCCAATCTGAAAACCCCGTTTCAGAGCCTTTCCATTTTCAAAAGCGACCGATCGCGATCCACTAGGTTGAGTGATCGAGAAGTTTTTGCACCCCTGAAAGCTCTGAAAGTATGACACTTACTGCTACTACTAGTTCTACTACTAGAGCTACTACTAGTGGTTGTAGGGGCTTTTTCCGATTTATTTCAATGATAGAGACAAAGAGAAATCAATTTCTCCGACTTATTCGGGCTGCAGATATTGCCGGGAACTGTTTCATCACTTCGACGAGTAAACTCGGACTAATCTTGCGGAGAAAACGCGATTTTTTAAAGCAATTTTTGGAGAAAGTGAAACATTACAAGGAGATTTCCACGTAAATATTGCGGCAAGCACAAACTAATTTATGACTTTTAAAAAGATACAAAAAGTAAATAATTATCGCGTCAAAATCTCGGCAAAATGCAATTGAAAAAGATACGAGCTTAATATCAATGCACATCAGTAATTTGAGAGGAGAAAAGCTAAGATTTTCCTTCATTTCCGAGTGATACCACATCACATGCTTATTCCGGAGTTCTAATACTTGCGCGCTTGATTTCCAAATCTACCGATGCGAGCACATTCATAAACATGAGTAATTGGCACAGGTAAAAAGCTGAGATTATCCTTCATTTTTGCATGATACCACACCATGTTCCTATTCCGGCGTTCGGATAGTGTTGTCCGCTTCATTTCCGCTTGTAAAAGCGTGAGAAATTGCGCGATTTTCATCTCGGTATCGCGGGAAGTGCGCTTTTTTCGGAGGTTACGGTAAAAAAGAAAGAAAAAGATAAACGCGATAATTGCCGCAATATCGTGGCATTCACGCGACTTTTCGGGTGGTAATGTCATTTCATCAAAAATTACGCCTAATTATCCTCAATACCCTGACAAGTACACACATCCATCGATTTAGAACATAAAAATTTGCATCCTATTCACCTCAATAGCGCGGAAAATGCGATTTTATCCATACTACATTATATTGATGCGATCATAATCTTCATAATCATCAGTAACGATAGGGGTATAGGAGAAATGTTACAAGATTTTCCTTCAATTTTGCGTGATACCACATACTTAAGAAGTCGAAATGTGCTTCACGGAATCACCACGACCGCATTAGCAACGGGAAACTAGTTGGCTTAAAATTCTCTGTCATTCCGTAATTTCTCCCCGTCTTTACATTTCCTGACAATGCCCGGTTTTAAAGATTTTCGCACCCGCAATCTATACAAAGTCTCGGAATAAATTGCTGTTTCCCGCGATACTGAGATGAAAGCCGCGCGTTTCCTTAAAATTACATGAATCAGGTGGAAAAATCGTATACTACTGGCGATGTCAAGATGAAAAACGGGTGATCTCTCACTTTTCACAATACCGCTGCACAAACAATGGGGGGAAAAAAAAACACATTGGATCTAGAGTCCCGACTCTTAAAAACATTGACAAGAAAAAATACTCTTGATTCGATCAGATTCAAGCTTATATCAAAAGGAAATCCGCTCAAATTAAGAGGCTTGATTCTTGATTTAAGCTTAAATCTGATTGAATCAAGAGTATTTTTTTCTTTTCGATGTTTTTAAGAGTCTGGACTCTAGATCCAATGTGTTTTTTTTTTTCCAGTGAATGATGTGTGTCGGGCGGTGTTATGCTCGCCTCGTTAAATAAGGAAATCAAGCGCGCAACTTTTTGAACTCCGGAGTCGGTGTGTGGTATAGCACGGAATTGAAAGGAAATCTCAGTTTAATGTCTGTCTCAAATTACTGAAGTTTTCACATATTATACTCCTCCTATCCAAATCGCGTATTTTCCGCAGGCCCGCCGCAGCTTTAAAGTCTCGGCCCCATGACTGCAACCCCCCCCCCTTTACCGCAAGAAAAACTATTTGTATTATCATGAAAATTAACATTGATAGAATAAAAATAAAGTAAATAAATGCCCATTACATTTCAGGAGATTAAAAATATCATT